CCCCCACACCCCCATTCGCCAACCAGACGCAGCAGCGCTACACCGAGCTGAATGACACGGTGACCAACCTGCAGACGGAGCTCAAGATGCTCACCGAGCAGGAAGACAACCTCAAGGTCGACAGACACACCGACACAACATGACACACAGAGCACACAACACACCCTCATCTGACGCGTGTGTCATGGCATGGCATGAGTGCAGCAAGAGCTCGAGGACCGTTCGTCCACCGTGACGGACTCGTCGCCGCTCGTCAAAGTCAAAGACACTCTCAAGAAACTCAAGGTGACCATGCAGGCAAATCGCTCCGTGTGTGCATGTGTGTGGGCGTGACGGGTGTGTGTGTGTGTGTAGGCTGAGATCCGTCAGATGGAGCTGAAGATCGGCGTGGTGTGCCAGACGGTGCTGCAGAGCAAGATGGCTCGAATCAGACCACAACTCAACAACAGGTCAGCCTGCCTGCTGGCCATACAATACACGCCCCCTGTCTGATGTAACTGACGCCTGTGTATGGATGGCATGGTGGGTGTGCCATTCATTTATGTGTGTGTGTGAGCAGAATCCCCTTCCGTGAGAACTCCATTGAGCTGGAGGGCGAGGAGATTTAGCCACATAGTCAGTCATCACATCCATGCCATGAGTGAGTGAGTGGTTGTAGCCATGCAGCCAGACAGACGACAAACAAACACGACACATGGCACGGGGGCGGGGAGGGAGGGAGGGAGGGAGGCGGCCAGCTTGCTGTTGAGGCTGTGTAGTGTGTAGTGTGTCCTGTGCTGTGCTGTGTGTATATCATATGCATGTGAGTGTGTGTAGATGACATGACTGACGGTCGATTCGATCATCCAGCCATCCAGCTATCCAGCCATGCGGTGACCAGTCAGTGGGCACGTCAGGGCCCTGCAGGGCACATCAACACTCTGTCGCACAGCCCCCCGCCACGCCACGGCCGACCGGCCGGCCGAAAGGCACACATGACATGACATGACATGACATGACATGACGGTCGGTCCTCTTCTATCTATCTACACAACCCTGCACACCTCAGGACTCAGCCATTCAGCCCTGCTCTATCTACCCCGCGCTGCCCACGGCAGCCATGAAGGTATCAAAGCTGATATTCCGTCCACACAGCACCGCCACCACCTTCTTGCCACACAGTGGCGGCGGGTGCCCAAACCGCTCCCCCGACCTCCCCGGCTATCTCAAGCTCTTGACCAGCCCTGCCACGGCCAGAGCAGCCGCGCCCTCGACGATGAAGTGCTCGGACTCCGCCATCCATTTCATGGCCTCACGCACCTCAGCCTCGCTCACCACCACATGGTGGTCGATGACATCGCGGCAGTGCACGAACGTCACGCAGTTGTGCTCGATTCCCCCAGCCACACCGTCACACAGCGTGGGCTTCTGGTCGACCTCATCTGCGGCCAGTGTCCGCCCAGCTTTGAGACTCTCATACATGACGCACGAGTTGGCGGCGTGGCACGCGACGACCAGGCAATGGGGCTGGAAGGCTTGATGGCCGTTCCGACACCAGACACAATCCCGCCACCGCCCACAGAGAGAAACACCGCTGCGACGTTCTGGACGGCGTTGAGTTCGATGCCGATAGTCCCCTGGCCCGCCATCACTTGCATGTCGTTGTAGGGGTGCACCAGCACCATCCCACGCTCATCCGCCTCTCGCCGCGCGCGAGCCTCGCTGTTGACGCAGTCGCCCTCCACTGTGATGATATGGGCGCCGTAGTGCTCCATCAACGACCGCTTGGCTTCGGACACACTCGATGGCACGCACACCGTCACGCTGATCGTCTTTTCGCCGTTTTCGCCGTGAGTAGTGCCCAGTTTCGCGGCGGCGGCACAGCATGCGATGCCGTGGTTGCCCGATGACGCGACGATGACGCCCTTGTCGCGGCAGGCCGACTCGTTCGCGAGGATCTTGTTGAGAGCACCGCGGAGCCTGCGGACAGACACGCGCACAGAGGGAGTCTATCTCATCTGCACTGCAGACAGAGTGCCTGCCATTAATGCATGTTAGTTAGTTACTTGAATGATCCGGTGATCTGGTGGTGCTCGTGTTTCAGAAAGACACTCGCGCCGGTGAGATCTGACAGAAACGGCGACTCATCGCAGCCCGTCTCACGCTGGGCAAAACCAACACATTAACGACAGACGCAAGCAACAGAGCATCGTGGGCCCTTGCCTCTGTCCGCTTCTCTCCCTGCGGCTGCCTTTGCTGCTCACCCACCACGTGTGGCGCGATGCGATGATGAGCGTTGACGATTTCTGGAAACAGTGGGCGACCTCCCAATGGCATGCCTCCTGCTTGCCACACACAAACACACACAAAAGCTTGCGGATCGCCGACGAGGTTCGTTGGTAATTTCGTCAAGAGGATCTGCGCTACTAGAGTACAGAAGAAGCAGCCCCCTTTGCCAGAAACCACAGAGTGGGGAGATCCACACCAGCCGTGAGGCTAAGCGCGCATAACTTGGGTGTGACGATGGACGAAAGGTTCGCGCAAGCGTCGGATTTCGTGGCCCATCTGGACGGGTACCAGCAGCAGGTCACCATCGACGACTGGTCCAGGCTCTACGGTGAGATAAGGCAGATGGGATGGACAGACTGGTGAGTGAGGACATCAGGTTTGTGGCGTCGCCTCAGGTTTGTGCAAATACGCGCTGCACGGCGAGTGCACCACGCCCCGACCACATGATGCCACTGAAATCGACAGAAGGAAATGGGTCGGTCAGCAGACAATCACTCACACAGGGACAGAGAGGAGAGAAGCAGACTATATCGTGTGTCTGTCTGTGGTTGCGTCGTTCGTTCCTTGCTTGTTGCTTCAGGAGGGATGGCTTCGGGCGTCCTTCCACGGGTCGAAAGAGAGCGCCTCCTCTCACTTCGTGGCCATCGTCGACTCCCTCTTCCCCTCTTGGCTCGACCACAAGACAGCCATCGACACACGACGGCACAAAGACCCGCCCTCATCGCCGCGCTCTCTCTCTCCAAGGCACGGGCAGATGCCGCCATTTATCCGCCGCACAGACACTGGCCGGGCGCCGTCGCCCCTCCCTGTGTCCATCCCCCCATCAGCACCACCAGCTGCAGAGCCGACAGATGGAGGACGCCCACAGCCGCCGCCACAAACACAGTCAGAGCCACACGGACAGCAGGAGCTACCCATGCGGTTTGAGCAGGCAGGCTCAGGCGGCGGGGGTGGCCGTCCGCCGCTGTCGATGCCGGGTGGGATGATGGGTGTGGGTGGCGGTGGGGGTGTGGTGGTGCGGTCGCCGCAGCTGTCGGCCAACAACACCAGCCACTGTGAGGAGACCCACCCCCCCTCCACAGCCAGCAGCCCCAGGCGCATCGCCGCCATACAGCAACGCTTCAAGGGCATGCTCTACCAAAAGGTGGGCCGGCAGAACACACCCCTGTGTGTGTCAGGGATGGCGCCAAGAGGCTTGATTGTGACGTGTACGTGTGTGTGTGTGTGTGTGTGTTGTGCCTGGTCGCTCCCATGCAGGAGTTGACTGTTACAGGGGGAGGGAGCTGGGTGGACCGGTACTGCGTGATGGACACGTCTGGGTGCATGCTGCGATGCTTTGACACGCCGGCCTCGCGCGAGCCCAGAGTGGTCATCCCGCTCGACCAAGCCGTCATCGAAGGTACAGACACCCACCACCACCACCCCTTATATAAACCCCCTCACCACTATGTGTGTGAGTCGTTGCGCCAATGCAGGCCTGTTCAGCCCAGCGGACGACCACGTCGACAGGGCGGCCGGGATGTGGTCGTTTGTGATCCGCTGGCCTACCGACACACCGCCGAAACTGCAGCTGCAGCCGACAGATCGGCGGGCACTCTCTTCTGGTGGTGGTATTTCGTCAACTGTTGCGTCGACGGGCTGGATGGGCAGCTGGGCGCCTGTGGGGGTGGAGGAGGACGGGTGGGGCATCGCACACCTGGGACACTACCATGAGGACGAGGCAAAGAGATGGTGGGCGTGAACAAGGCGGGCAGGCAGGCAGGCAGGCCATCCCTCCCTCCCTCCCTCCCTCCCTCGACGGACGGACGGACGGATGGATGGATGGATGTTTGCAGGTATGACGGCATACTGGATGCGATCGAGGCCTTCGACTCGCCGCCCCAGCCGGTGCTGCCCCCGCTGGACACCTTCATGCACGACCACACCCCCAGCGGCATCCGCCTGACCGCTGAGACTATCCACCCCTGTCCTGGCCCACCCGAACCCTCATCTGTCCCCCCTGTCCTCGCGCCATGTGTCGAGCAGCCACAAAGCGGCCTGCATGACGGCAGCGACAAGTAAGAAAACGGCCAGGCTGAAGTGCTAGTAGGTGCGATAATGATGATGATAGTGTTGTCTTCTTCTCGTTGCTGTCGGCAGTTGGGTGTTGTCAAGCGGTGAGGGTGGGTGCCGCATCTATCGGCACAGAAGGGACCCCCACAGGTGGAAGTGCAGCATGACCATCCACGCGCCAAGGGCCCTCGTCCTCCACTACCTGAGCCGGCCGTGGGGCATATCGAGCTTCCTGGGCTTCCAGGAGACCAAGTGGCAGCTGCTGCAGTGTGTGCCTGACGAGCCGGTCGACGTCTGCCGGTACCGACATCGGCTGTGGGGCGGCGTGTGGGGCGTGCCGTGGCGCGTGCTGGGGGGCAGACACGCGTGGAACCCCCTCATGGAGTATCGGCTCATCAGAACTGGGTGGACAGGTGCGTGTGGACAGAGCACCCCACCACACGACAACACAACACGCACACTCTCTGTTTGCGATGGTTTGCTTGTTGTCAGACCCCGACGGCACGTCGTTCATCGTCGGCACCTCTCTCCCCCTCACCAAACCATTCCCCCTCTCTGTGTCTTCCACTCTCCCTCTCCCATGGCTCTCGGGAGCCGCCCAGACGGTCCGCACAGACGTCCAGTTGGTCTCATGGAGAGTCGGCCCATCATCCCGGCCAAACGAGCGGTGTCATGTGTCATGCTGCCTGCGGCTGGCACCCAGGCAGCCCTACTGGGGGGTGGCGCTGTGGCTGGGCGGGGGTGTGGGTGTGAGGCGTGTGCTGGTGCGGAGTTTCTTCGACCACCTTGTGAAGCTGAGAGGGTTCCTGACGTCATCCGATGAGGCCGGTGAGGGAGGGAGGGAGGGAGGGGGGAGAGAGATGATAAGGCGTGTTGTATGTGTGTGTGTGTGTGGGGGGGGGGTGTAGATATGCCGTTGAGTGAGTTGGGTGCGTCCGAGTGGTCGTCTCCCCTGCCCAGCCTCACCTTCAGCCCCCAATCCACCTCTACCACCTCCCCACCAGGCTCGCCACTGGACACAGACCCAGACGACATCGATGCGGCCGCAAGGTGACCCCTCACACACACACACGTGTGCAGGGCGCTGCGTCGTGTACGGTGTTGTGTGTTGTGTATGTGTCAGGGTGTTCTGCACACTCCCTCTGCCATTCTCTGATCTGCGCCCCGTCCCCCCCTCCCAGCGCCCCAGGTGGCTGCGCAGCCAGCAAGATCTCGGCAGAAGACAGGGAAAGGTCGGCCACCACACACACACACACACAGCACACGCACAAGACACACACACACTGCACCCACTTCCTCTCAGGCCTTAGCGGACCTTCGCCGTCAGCTGCAGCTGGGTGGCGAGTTCGGCCCTCCCGTGTTGGATTTGCGCGAGAGCGATTTGCTGCGGTTCCTGAGTGCGCGAGGGTGGGACGTGGATGCGGCTGAGCTGCAGCTGCGGCGGGCGATCCACTGGCGGAAGGAGTCGGGCGTGGAGGCCATCCACCTGCACGCAGAGGGGCTCAAGCCACACATGGACACACGTAACAGAGAGACAGACAGAGAGAGAATGGATGGATGGAGGAGGAGTGTGTTTGTGTGTGTAGGGTGGGGTCACCTATGGGCGTCCGACGTGCACCAGCGGCCCTGTCTCGTGTTCGTCCTCCAACGCATCACATCCAACAACACCGCCGACCCTGCAGTAGCCCACCACCACACGCACACCTTTCATGTCATGCGTGTGATGATGTGACGTCTGCAGGCCCTGAGGTGGTGCCTGCTGCACCTGCTGGAACAAGCCCTGCATCAGCTGCAGAATACCCCTCATGTGGAGCAGTGGGTGGTGCTCATCGACGGCAGGGGCTTCGGCTACGCCCACTGGGGGGCCTGGCAGCCGCTGCTGGAGCTGCTGCCCATCCTGACCGAGGTGTATGCCGAGCGGCTGGGCGAGGTGCTGGTGTGGCGGGCGTCCTGGCCTCTGCGGCTTGCATGGGACATGCTGCGGGTAAAAAGGGTGTGTGGGCTGGGTGAGGGGCATGGAGGGAGGGAGGGAGGGAGGGAGTCATTGGTGCGTGTGTGTGTTGTGTGTGTGCAGCTTCTCTTGGACGAGACCACCGTGCAGAAAGTGCGGTTTTTGCCATCGGTGGGTGTGGAAAAGGCATGCATCTCTTGTATGTATGTATGTGTTGTACGTCTTGTTGTGTGTGTGTGGTGTGTGTGTCCAGGATGAGCCTTCTACGCTGCGTGTGTTCCAGCACTGCTTTCCGCCCTCACAGTCGCCCCTGTCGGCCCTGATGGCTGAAGAGCTCTAATAAATTGACTTGAGTGTGGTTGGGTGCGGTGGAAGGCAGACACTGCTTGAATGAAGGACACGATCGAGCTCGTCATAGCTTCGGTCAATCAACGACGTCACCCACACACAGACGATTCAAGACGTATGTGTGTGTCTGTCAACTTCACTTCGTCCTTCAAGTCACATCGCACCCCCCCACACACACTGACACGCATTGCAGCAGACACACGCCACCTGCTGCAGATCATCCACCTGCTCCACGGCAGTCAGAACACGACGCATAGCGCATCCAAGCAGTGCACCGTCTTCACTGCCTGCTGCGGGGCAGGAAGATGACCCACACCACATTGATGTCTGCTCCAGTGCACGCAGCTCCACACCCATTGTATCTGTATCAGTCAGCCATGTGTACATATATATGGCAGGGAGCGATGGTCGAGCAGCAATCTCATCTCATCACATGGCCTTGTCATGCCCCACACCGTCAGCACAGCCCCCTCCTCGGCGGCCGTGGCTGGCACCGAGGACGCAGCTGCGCGAACGCCGACATACATCACAAGGCAATGGATGGATGGATGGATGGATAGCAGATCAAGACAACCGGGTCCACTTGCCAACCCGTCGATGGGCAAAAACGCCCCTTCTTTCTCTCTTTCTCTCTCAGATCCAGTCAATGTTGCCTATGAGGGCGTACATCATCAGGAAGAACCACGTGACACAGATGGCCTGACACATACACACACAACAGCACACACATGCGCACTCTCACGCCGCCCTCGGCCCTCCTCTTCTCCCGTGCCTGACCTACTCACTCGCTCACTCACTCCCTCACCTTTTCCCACCACTGCATCTCTGACCAGTAGGGCTTCTTCTTGTGGCTCTTGCCCGGCTGCTTCGCCTCAACCGGAGTGCACACATCACCTCCCACAGCGGGCTCTATCTTACGCCCTGGGGTGGCCGCATCTAATGGACGGATGATCGGCATCACGCCACACACACACACAAGCGACCGAAAAGGCAAGATGGTCATGCTCGGTGTGTGTGAGTGGTCTCGCGTGTCTGTACCTGGATTGTTGGTGTTTGGTGTGGTGGGCGGCAGTGGGTGTGGGTGTGGGTGTGTTCGTGGGGGTGCGGCAGAGGGCTCCTCAATCGTCACCGGGCGGACAGGGGATCTGATGCCCACCACAGCCTGACACCAACGAACCAACCGAACAAACACACACTCAGTCATCTCTGTGTGTGTGTGTGCGTGAAATGGGTGACAATCATCCACCTCACCTGCTGAGCAAGCGCAGATCTCAGAGCCAACCGGACCCTGCTGTCCTCCTGCAGGCAGACAGACGTCCTGGTGACGCATCCAACACGACAGATAGAGTAAGTGCCCTGTCCTGGGCCCACCAGTGTTGCGTCCAGGGCACGTGTCAACGCTGAATTGAGGACCTCCACACCCTTCAGGACCACGCACCACAGCCATGTCAAGTGTCGGCGTCCTTTCGTCTAGATCTTTCTTACATTGTTGCCATGTCGCTGACGTTGGTGGTATGCGCTGCTGCTCGGCCTCTTGGACAGACAGGCAGACGCCGCCACCCTGTGTGCCGAGTGTGCTAGCGCTGTCGCTTGATTCGCCGTGGGCTGGCGAATAAGCAACGGGATGCGGCTGCTGAGCCCACCGAGGACCTGCCGAGCCACAGGCACCTCACCGGGCATTGTGTTTCCGAAACAAGGCCAAGCTCGCGAATGTCTTCAGCTTGAAGTTTTCTCGGCTCTCTCTTGTGTGTCTTGCCTCTTGCCTGCTTGATTCGTCAGCCATCTGTCGGCATTTGCAGTGCTACATCCCAACCCCGGCTCATCGTCCGTTCAAGTTGTCAGAAGTGCAAGTCGGTCCAGGGTTTAGGGTCTAGGGTTCATAGACCGACGATCCACTGATCTGTGAGACAGGACGGCTGTTGAGTCTTTGTCCGTTCCATGAGACAGGCCATGGCGGACAGGACGTCAGACA